CTATTTTCACTATGTGTGAACATAAAAGTAAGCTTGCAAAAGTAAGATTTTCCTTTGCCTGCACTATAAATTCATTTCTTACTTATGTTTCAAATAGAACAATATTGCCAACCCTCCCATTTGAAAGTCATTTTTTTTTTCAGGGAAATGGCCATTCAATGTTTTTTGTGGATTTCTGACTTTATGTAATCAATAGTAAATTTTGAAAGGCTTTCTTGGAACATAGCACCATTTCCTATGTGCAGTATTGGGCAAGAATCCAAATAGGCATGATATCACATCTACCTAAAATTTGCTTTGCAGTTTCAACTGCATGGGGGTGGTAATTTCTGTGGTTTGTTTAATCAACACAGTGTTTATTGACAACTGTTTCTTGGCTGGGATCAATGCTGCCTTTGGCTGAGTCCTTAAAGGGAATATTTTGAAATGTAATCATTATTGTCCCTTTTAATTTAAGATCTAAAGTTGAGCAATTTTAGTGATATCCTTGTCACTTCTTAAGGCATTAATCCTGATGTCTGCTATTACTTAGATATTTCATTAGATAAAAAGTACCTAGTTTCTCTATGCCCCAGTTTCTTTCAAAATAAAGTAGAAATATAGGCTGAGTTTCTTTGTAAGACTAATGCCTCTTCCTGGCAATGTCTTCTAGATTCCTTTAACTAGAGTTTAAATTTGAGATTCTCCAGTGAATATTTACATGACTTTTTCTTCATTTTAATAAAGAAAGCTGTAAATGACTATTAATAGGTGAATAGTTAAGGTTGTACAGCTATTATAAAATACTAGAGGCCCGGTGCATGGATTTGTGCACCGGTGGGGTCCCTCGACCTGCCCTGCGGGATCGGACTGAAACCAGCTCTCCGACATCCCACAAGGGGTCCCAGATTACGAGAAGGCGCAGACCAGGCAGAGGGACACCACTGGTGCACGATCAGGGATGGGGAGTGACTGTGGCAGAGCTCCAGGGGGTGTCCAGCCCATCTCGCCCAGTCCCGATGGGCCAGACCCCAGCAGCAAGCTAACCTACTGGTCGGAGCTTTTATTATATAGGATGTAGGTGAATCAAACACAGAGCATACACCATGACAAAAATAATTACTTGATGATGTGGCTCTTCTTCCTCAATTAGTATTGATAATTTATTCCAGAAGCATGTAATGTGTCTTCAATAACACTTTGCAAGTGTGTTTTCTGGAATACAAGTTCTACATAAAATTGTTTTTTTTTACAGTAAAATGGTTCTTAGACCAATATATTTGAGAAATAAGTCAAACAATATCCAACAGGATTTTTAATTGCAGGATTTTCTGGAATTTTTAGTATGCTGGTAGTCATTTTGGACTTTCTAAAAAGAGTTTATATTTTGAAATCCAAATATACTTTTTTTCCTTTCATAATACTTTTTTGTGCTCTAAGATATTTTCGTTTACCTAAAGATTGCAAAGTTTTTCTTCTATGCTTTCTTCTACAAGGTTTATATTTTTAGTTTTTACATTTAGATCTCTGAACTACTTTTGTGTTAATTTTTATGAGTGATATGAGTTTAGGAATTGAAAATGATTTTTTCAACTAAAAATCCAGTTATTCCTATATTGTTTGTTGAAAGATTATTTTTTCACACTTATCCTGCCACAACCAAATGATTTTTTTTTCTGAACTCTTTATTCTGTTCCATTGATTTTTGTGTGTATTTTTATGCCAGTATTACACTGCTCAGGTCTTTTGTAGCTTTATATTAAGTCTTGATATCTGGTAGTATAAATCCTCCCACTTTTTAAAAAGTGTTTTGCCTCTTCTAGCTCCTCTGTATTTGCATATCTGTTTCAGAATCACCTAATCAAGTTGTACAGGAAAGCTTGCTGGATTAGATTGAATCTATGGATAGGTTGGAGGGAAAGTGGCATCTTAACCTTGAATCCTCTAATTCATGAATATGGTATTTCTCCAAACATTTAGATAAAGGGCTGGCAAATGTCTTCCGTAAAGTGTAATGTAATAAATATTGTTTATGCTTTGCTAGATCATATAGTCTCTGTTGAAGTTTCTCAACTGCAAAAGCTGCCATACCCAAATGATACAAATGGGTGTGGCTGAATTCTAAAAACAAAATAGGCTAAAAGCTGTAGGCCATAGTTTATCAACCTTTGATTTAGGTCACCTTCAGTTTCTCCCAGCAGTGTTTTGTAGTTTTCAGTGTACATGTTATTAAATTTATGCTTAAGTATTTTATGTTGGATACTTTTGTAAATTAGTTTCTTAAAACTTTTAACTTCTAATTATTGATTGATGTATAAAACATATAATTTATGTTTAAATACTTATCTTGTATTCTGCTAAATTCACTTATAGTACTAGGAATTTTACTGGTAGGTTCCTCAGGAACCTATTCTCTGGAAATAAAGACATTTTACCTATTTCTTTCCATTCTTTATGACTTTTTCTATCTTATTGCACTGTCTAGGTTCTCCAGGACCAGTTGAACAGGAATGATGAAAGCAGACATCTTTGATGGTAGTTGATTTTAGGGGTAAAGCATTCCTCTTTCACTATCAAGTAAAATGTTAGCTATATACTTTTTTGTGGTTACCCTTTATCAGGTAGAGAGTTTTCCTCCATTTCTAGTTCCCTGAGAGGTTTCATCATGGCTGATATGTTGAATTTTGTCAAATGCTTTTTTCTTCTTTATTCAATTACTACTGAGCTTTTCATTGACTGGCTTTTTAATGTTAAGTCAGCTTTGCATTCATTACATGATTAATCCTCACTTGTTTCTAATGTATTATCCTTTTTATACATTAGGTTAGAGTTTTAATATTTTGTTAAGAAATTTTGTGCCATATTCAGAAATATTCTGCTGTAGATTTCTTTTCATATAATATTTTTGCTGGTTTTGACAGAGTAATTAATGGCCTCATAAAATAAGTTGATAAGTATTTCTTCCTCCTACATTTTCTTAAAGAGTTTGTATAAGATTGGCATTATTTTTCCCTTAATTCTTTAGTGGAATTTGTCAATGAATCCATTCAGGCCTAGAGTTCTATTTGTGGGAAGGATTTTAATTATGAATTACATTGCTATAATGGATATAGATTAATTTAAACATTCTGTGTGTGTGTGCATGTGCGTGTGTGTGTGTGTGTGTGTGTGTGTTATCAGCTTGTCACTTTCAAGGAACTTGTCTCTTTAAGGTATCAAATTTATTGCCACAAAGTTGTTTTTTACATTCTTTATTTTTTTTGTCTACAGTGTATAGTGATGTCTCCTTTTTCAATGTTGATATTGATAATTCTGCATTTTCCCTCTTTTTTTCCTGATCAATTTAGCTAGAGATTTATCAATTTTATTGATCTTTTAATTGATTTTCTGATCCATTTTAGCTTTTATCTGTTGTTTCCTTCTTTCTCTTTGTGTATATTGTCTTCTTTTTTCCTAGTTTCTTAAGAGTGGAAGCTTATTCTATTAATTTTAACCTTTTTTATTTGTAATATAAGTATTGACAACTATACATTCTTCCCTAAGACCTATGTTAGTTGCATCCCTTAAATATTGATATACTTTGTTTTCATTATCACTCAGTTCAAAGTATTTCATAATTTCCTCTGTGATTTCTTCTTTGATACATGGTTAATTTGAAAGCTTTTTGTTTAATTTAGAAAACTGTCAGAATACACTTTTGGAAAACTATTAAACACAATTCTTGTTTAAATCTAGGACATAAGGCATAAGTAGAAGGCCTCAGGAGTGGCTTAATAATTCACTGTCATATGATCTTTTTGTATTTATATAGATTAGATAGATATTGATATAAATAAATACATTCTCATGTTATATATTTAAGTAAGGGAATTTGAACTAGATTTTGATTGATAAGGTCAGCCTTAAAAGACTGCTCAGAATAGTATTAGCACATCATCTCTTCATTTTATTTAAACCCCTTCTCTCCATTACTAAGTACCAAAACATTAAAGATTCCATTTACTTTTAAATATATTAAAAATTAAGTATGTTATTATATAACTATTTTTAATTGCTCTCGATCTTGAAACTAGGTGTCCTCCCCCCCCCCCCTTCCATGGGTACACTTTTACACTTCAGTTCAAACAAAATCAACCATCGCTAATAGGACCCAGACAGAGTGTGAAGTGCTAGCCTTTGTTAGTCACTTTATTAAAATAGCCTGTTTGTAGTGGCACTATGACACCCAGACCAGCTTCCTTACAGAAACACAATGAGATCAGGAAGCATAAATTCAAGGGAACTGATGAGTTTCCTCCCTGGTGGTGGCTAAAATTACTCTCAAGAACTTTTTGTGCAGGAAGCCATGGTGGGTAGGTGTCCATTTAGAGGCTGCAGATGGGGTACATACTCAAGCCAGACCTGAGTTCAAATTTTTGCTGGGCCACTCAATTGCATGTGACCTCAGGCAAGTCATGTAATTTCTCTGGGTCTTGGTTTCTCCATCTGTAAGATGAACATAATAATAGTTCATATCTCACAGCATTGCCATAAGGGTTTAATGAATTAGTATTTGTGCTTAGCAAGTACCTGGGGACACACCATAGAGACTACAGATGTATTAACTGGTACTGCTACAGCTCCGAAAAAGCAGTAGCTTAAGAAGCTCTTGAAAACTTAAGTTATCTTTAAGAGGAGGAGTATGCCTCTATTGTCAGGACCACCAAACAATCAGAGGTGGGAACAACCTTGAGGTAAAGGCTGCATTTCAGGTACGCTTTAACCAAAATGAAACTGGGGGTATCCTGGGTCATGTTTTTCAAAGAGCAGAGACCACCTTGTTCCTGGCCTGTAACTTATTCTTAGAAGAATCATAAATAAGGTCATAGTTATGGACTTTGAACACCAAACCAGAGGAGCTGACTGTCAACTTCTTCCACATAGTCTCAGAATCTATAGAAAATATGTACTAGTAACTTATTGTATAGACAACTGCCAAATTGTCAAACATTGTCATTGGAATGAAAAAACAGACGCTAAAATTTATTAAACTATAATTTTATCTTTAATTCTTTAAATTCAAATAAATATTACAGTCAATTCTGTGAGTTAGTTAATTTTGCTGCTTCCCACATTATAATTGTACTAGTTATCTTCAGGCAGTTTCAAATTATGTCATCAATCTTGGTCTTTGCTTTTAACTTATACAGTGGAATATACTTGTTCATTGGTGTGAGTAATTTTCAATATCTTGCCAAACAGCCTGTGGCAACTGAAAAGCAAGTTGCGTATATTAGACTTTTCTGTTTGTGCTCAATGCAGCAAAAACAATTTATGCTGGAAACCCAACTTCATAGAGTTGCAGGCACTTATATAACTAATTCAAAAATACTTCACTTTCTGTAATTAAGAAAACAATATTGACCTATATAGTTGGCAGGCAAGTGGTAGAGCAAAGCATGTTTTATGGCTACAATCATTTTCCATTTCACTTTATTGTTATTTATGCTATTTTATCTCCCCAATCTGACTACATGTATTCTATTTCATCCCGCCCGTCTTGTAAGCTCGATCAATATTTGAGACCAATTTTATTAATCTATGTACTCAGCTGGTACTTTAAAGCTCAGCTCTAGGAAGAAAATTCCCATCAGTTTCAGTGTTGTGCAAACTTTTCAGTAGCTTAGAACATTCAAGATGGCCCTATACTCAGAGTGCACTGTCAGCCACTGATTCCCCTCAGCCCTGGGGACAGCTGACAAGGTTCTGGAGCCCACCAGCCAGTGAGCCCAGTGAAGAGCAGAGTCTAGTTCTCCCAGGCAGCCCCAACGCAGCAGGATTTAGGATGTGAAAAAACCTCCTCTGGCAGCAGCCCTCTCTGGCTCTGCTACTTGGTACTGAGGGTAGCCAGTGAGGGGCCTTACTGTCTGCACATCTACTCCTGCCACCCGCTGCAGAGCACTCAACAGCATTGATCACAAGGGGTGCAGCACGAGTTCACTTTGCAGGAGCTCATGGAGCTCTGTTGGCTTCCAAGTTGAGGCTCGGGACACAGATCCATGTCTCCATCCCTCATCTCTATGTTCACATAGACACACACTTTAGTCCTTTGGTGGCTGCCATATCTTTTGCAACGGACTCCAATCCAGATGCAGGCTTTCCCAGAGCGTGCTCATGCTGCCAACCCAAATCGGAACTTCAGCATTTTGCTATGAAAAAGTCTCATCAGATTTGAAATCATTAGCATCATCACGAGAAAAGGGAACATTACCTTGTCTTGGACAGAAACGAATACTTGTTTCATTTCCAACTCTGGTGAAATTTTGAATGAGTGTAAAAAAACCTTTTTTTTACATTTTGGTATTTCACTTATTTTGTTGATCGTGATTATCTAGAGATCAACTTTTTCATAAAGATATGAAATGATTTTATGTAGAACTTTATGCCATCTCATATTTAAATCACTTCTAATAATTTTCTATTTTATTTTTAACAGGCAGGATGATATGGAATACATTGAGTCAGACACATATTTGACTAAGCTCCAGGGAGCCTTGTCATTTTTTCTATGACATAACCCTGGAAACTTTGGTGGAGGACCTTCCATGAGGGATTTTCGGTGGCTCACAAGTGAGCAAGGTTCTCTCCAAAGGGCTTCCCAAACTGGGCGCCAGGCCTTTCCTCCTGACCCTGGCCCTCAGCTCCCTTAGCCTCAACAATGAAATACCACAATCATAAAATTTCACAGGATCCCATGAAATGGGGCCACATGCAACGTTTATCCTCGACTTCGCACTCCATCAGCAGACGGACTCATTCCCTTCAAGTTCAGCCTCCGTGCCCACTGCCTCGGACAAAGGAGTTACCCAACATTTCCTCTTTAAGACCTCGGAGCCTTCCTTCTTCTACCTTGCGCGGCCGGCAAGCCAAGGTGGCTGGTCTGGAGAGGCCGCCCGTTTCGATCCACACATTCCCCCTTTGCTTGGGCGGCTTGGGCGCGCACCACGCCCGGGTCTCCAGGCTTCTGTGGGGCAGCCTCCTGTTCCCTGCCTGGCTCCGCAGACGGGGCAGGTGAGCTCCGGGCCATCGCCTCGCGCTTTATCTGCAGGTGCCCAAGGGGGTACCGGCCGAAGCCGGAGACCAGCGCTCCCCGACCACCTCCCAAGACCCCTCCAGGTTCTGCGCCCCTGCGCGTGGTCGGGCCAGAAACCTGACCGGCGCACCAACCCGAGGGAAAGGGAAGCCGCGACACCGTGGGCAGTTATCCAGGAAATGCCATCTCACCCTTCCCCCATCGCCCTGGGTGTTTATCTTCGCTTCTGCTCCCCACCCGTTTCTCTTTCACTTTTGTTTTCGCTGGGGGGTTGGGACTCCTGGAGTTCAGAGCGCTCACCCAGTTCACTCGCTCTCCGGCGGCGCCGTAGCTCGAAAGGAAAGGCAGTCGGGTGGCCGTGCCCTCTGGCTGCGCCACCTGCAGCCCCTCACCCAGCAGTCCGGACTCGATGGAGGTACAGAGTTCAGCCTCTCCGCTTTGGGAAGGGAGGTGTGGGTGGTTGAAAGGGCGCTAGAATTTCCCCGAACAGTCTCCGCCTTGGACCCCTCCCACCTCCAGCTGGACCCACCCGGCTCCCCCGACAGGCTGCCGGCCGGCTGCCCCGCCCTCTTCTAGGGAGCACTAGACTGACTTCAGTTTTCACTTGCACTTCGTGCAGAGATTTTTCACCTTCTGGCCCTTTATTTCTCTGGTGGCCTCTTCTCGCCATCCTCCGCTTCCAGAGGAGCGCAGATTGCTGGTCACTTGGCCGTCCCGCGGGTTCCCTAGTGCGCTCCTCTCTTTGCGTGTCGCCAGCTGCAGGTGAGACTGCAGGGTGGGTTGGCGGAGAGCAGTGACGTGCGCCTGACCGCCCTCGCCAAGCCGCAGGTTCAAAGAGAAGACGGCGTCTGGCTGCACCAAGCGCTGAGTTTCTCACCCCATTGAGCTCAGAAAGTTCAAGAAAGGTACTGCATCTTCCCGCTTCTTCCCTGATCCCTCCCAAACCCCCTGCAGGCCTGCGTGCGCGAACACACAGGACTGTCTGTACCTTTGCTGGCAAAATCAAATTCCCCTCCTTTTCTTTGATCGGGAACCTTGCCTTCCAGGGAGAGGAATTTGCAGGAATGGTCACTTTTGGCAGTCAGACCTGGGTCTGTATTTTCAGTTCCAACCCTGGACAAGACATCTGTCTCTCAGAAAAACAGTATGAGAAACTTGGAAGAAATGCAGGGGATTTGCATTTCATTCAAATCCTTGTTCAAGGTGGTTTTAAATTAAATTCCAGTTATTTTTTTCAAGTGTTATTGAGACTGCATTTGCAAGTGTATACAATTTATTTGAATTTAACTATGTAATCCCATGCACTTAAGGGTTTGTTAACTTCCGTGCATGTATAAGGTAAGGTTACTCTTTAATGATGCTTATAACAGATTCTTAAATAGTGAGTCAGAAGTTTTGAAACTAGGAGTGAAGTGGTTGTCACTAGCTATTATTTTCCACTGTTTTTTTTTTTAAAGCTACTTTCTTTTTTATTGAATGCACTGGGGGTGACATTGGTTAATAAAATTATATAGACTTCAGGGGTACAATTCTGTAATACAGCTTCTTCCTCATGCCATGACACTGGTGGTGGTGTCAACTTGTAGCTGATAGGCATCTTCATTTTGTCCATGTGCCCACAGAGGCTTTATTCAGTCTGGATGTTACAGCACCCTGCTGGGTGAACTGGGCAATACAGATGCAATTTCAAACTCCCGCCCTTTCATTAAAAAGCCAGGTCAGGCCCCGGTTTGGCTCAGTGGATAGAGCGTCAGGCTGCGGACTCAAGGGTCTCAGGTTTGATTCCTGTTAAGGGCATGTACCTTGGTTGCGGGCACATACCCAGGAGGCAGCTGATCGATGTTTCTCTCTCATCGATATTTCTAACTCTCTATCCCTCTCCCTTCCTCTCTGTAAAAAAATCAATAAAATATATTTTTAAAAAAAAGTTGGGTTAGTGGGTATGGTAGACAGGAGGAGGTGGTACTAAAGAAAGAATGTAAAATATATATATTAAAGAAAGAATGTAAAATATATATATATATATATATATATATATAAAAGGACTGAAGACAAAGTAGTAGTCACTTTAGATTTTAAAAGCGATGAAAAATTTAAAAATTTCCTTCCTATAGTTAAGAAGTGTCAGAAAGTTCTGAAGTTCTTTATGGTAGTGTTTTAATGTCATATTCTTATATTTCTTCCTCTGCTTTGTGTTCTCAAAGTTTTTGTGGTACTCAGAATGACCTTCCCTGCAGCCCTCTGCTCTGGGACAAAGGGGCAGAAAGGAGTTGGGTTGGCCACTGGTCCAGAAGCTGTAATAGGCAGCGTGTTTGCAGGATTTTACTCAGCTGTTTAAATGGGTCTCAGACCCAAAACAGTTTTTTAACATTTGAATTCACTGCTCTGCTGATGTGGAGGGGGAACTCCAGAACCTGATTTGAAGCTGTAGTTCTGGAATTTGGAATTTTCCTACAGATTACCGGTGGGCTTAAGAAAAACAATGTGATGCTTTTTGTTTTAATCCATGAGATTCAGATGTAAATGTGAACAGCTGTATCACAAAACATGTTTGTCAATGAATTGCATGTTTATAAACTTCTTTGGAGGATGGGAGAAATAGCAGTTTAAAGTTTATTGAAATAGTTTGATAACTGGAGGGTTTTAAGCCCTAGCAGGTCCTCAGGTTTGCTGGCTCTGAGTAAACTTCAGGAAGACTGGGAAGGAAGTCCTGAAATTTGTGTATAAGTGGATTTTTCCAAGGGAAATACCCATAATTCCAATCAGCTTTTTAAATGGGTCTTGGACCCAAAAACACTTTTTAAAACATTTTAAAATTTAGAAAACTGCCGAAACCGGTTTGGCTCAGTGGATAGAGCGTTGGCCTGTGGACTGAAAGGTCCCAGGTTCGATTCCGGTCAAGGGCATGTACCTGGGTTGCGGGCACATCCCCAGTAGGAGATGTGCAGGAGGCAGCTGATCGATGTTTCTCCTTCCATCGGATGTTTCTAACCTCTCCTATCTCTCTCCCTTTCCTCTCTGTAAAAAATCAATAAAAATATATAAAAAAAAAAAAAAATTTAGAAAACTGTCCTTTTTTTTCTTCTCCTTACTGTTAAGTTTTTGCTCATTCTGTAACTATTCTTTTGAAGGTTTAGGTAATGATAATACAGAATACTGTCTTTGGACCCACAACTTGAAATTATGAGAAATAATACTAATCCTACGTAATTTTTTGAGTTCTTATTATGTATCAGATGTTGTTCCAAGAATGGATGTATTTTTTTTTAATTGTCATAATAAACTTATGTGGTGGTAAGGATTGTATTTTGTAGCTCAGGAAATGGAAGCATAACATAATTTAATAACTTCCCCAAAGTTACAGCTAAAAGGTGGTAGAGCTGGGATTTGAACCCAGACGGATTTGGTCACTGGTATTTATGAAGGATGATATTATTTCCATAGAAATACTTCCCACAATTTCACAGTGACAGTCAACCCCTATTGCATTTGGATGCAGGGTTATGATAGAATGTTGGGTTTAAAGCCATGCTTACATGGTTCTTACATGATTGACATTATTAATGATTTATTTAAGGATGGCCTTTATGACCAGATAATATTCACAGAAGTGTGAGAAATCTTATCTCAAGCGCTCCAAACTCATTCAGCATCAAAGAAGTCACACAGGAGAAAGGCCTTATGTGTGCAGTGAATGTGGGAAATCCTTTATGTGGAAACCTCACCTTCGTGTACACCAACGGGTTCACACAAGATAAAGGCCTTACCATTGCAGTGAATGTGGGAAAAGCTCTAAGGATAGTTCCCAGTCCAGTTGACAATGGAGAGCTCACACCGGAGGTAGGCATTTGAGTCCAAAAATGGGGGAAATGGGAATTTTTTGGCCATAATTCTTACCTTTCACAACACTTGAGTCTTCATATTGGAAAAAGGTCTTATGAGGGTAGTGAATGTATTGTTTTACCTGTAAAAAAAAATATGTGTCTATATGTGTTTGGTTATTTGGAGACATTTCCTTTATGGTTCCTGAATGAAAACATTTGTCTAATTGGTACCAGTTTTTGCTGACAGAGCTTGACAAGTAGTGGGCAAATGTGGATTGATCTATATGTTTCTATCTATTGATCTACCTATCTATTCATCCATCCAAACAGAAGCCTGGGATTCATGGGGAGATCAGGACAGAAGACTTTCCCATTCTATCACAACTGAGGCGGTAGAGTCAGCTGTTTGGGAAGTCTGCTTTCAGAAAGATTTAAGGTATGACGCTTGGCAAAAAGCCAGCTTTTTTCTTCAGCTCAGTATTAGCTCTTGGATTAATTTACCTAGTAATTACAGATTACTGCATGAGATTGTTGAGACTGAACATTGCCTAAGTGCTTGCTGCTACCCTACTTGATGGATTGGATGGGAAAATCCCATAGGAGAGTTGAGAGAACATCTGGGGTTGTAGCTAGTACTGGAATGTGTTATAACTATTACATTTATTACTTTGCTCTATGTCAAGGAATGGTTTCCTTTTTTTAAAAAAAGTTATTTAGTGCTGGAATCAGAAATAGAAAATAAGAGGCTCTTTGGTCTCACTTGTACATATTTTATATCAGGAGGCGGGTATTTGTATGCATATATTTTCCAGTGTTTTTTTTCCACTTTGAGTCTATTGGTGTCTTGCCAGTCATTTTCAGAAGAGCAGAGGACTGTATGTAGACCACATAAAATGGACCAAGAACTCTGAGTCCCTATTAGCTGATCATGTTCAAATAATACACAATTGCTTCTTCCCCCAATGCTGACAGGATGCAGGGATGATCAGGAGAATGACAGAAAGTGTTTACTCAGATAAAGGAATTGAAACTAAAAATGATCCTAGAAAAAGAATATATGATGCTTGTAAGGTGGGGGGAGGGAGAGAAGCTCTACTTATCACAGGGACATGGAGAGAGACCAGTGACACATTCAAGGATCTCTTGTGTCATTTCTCCCCTTGCACACGGTTAGCACGGATTTCTGAAAATTTCAAATAATTATTCTTTAATTAAACATGTTACAGTTAGAAATCTTACAATATAGCTTTCCAATTTTTTTGACTTCCTTCATCCTCTGCAGCAACAAAAATAAGTATTGAAATGTAATCATTTAAGAATTTTATTGTTGAAAACTATTATTTATGTTACTTTAAATATTATTAGTATGCAGGTAACCAAAATAACTCATTAATGTTGATAAGAAATTATTAGGCATAAAGCTAAACTATATTGGAAGTGTATATGTGTATAGATGTAGATATGGGTGGTGTTGCGATCAAGGCTTTCATTAGAGAGGGTTTCCATAACATCCCTTTTTCAGATTGCCCCTCCATTTGGCAAGAGGCAGGGTGAGATTCTGGATGTGGGGGAAGATGCCTCTCTTTTCATAAAATGGAAGGAGAGTGATTATGAAAGGGGAAGAGGGAAAGGAGAACTTGCTAGAAATGTGCTTGCCTCAGGCATGTTTCAGGCATATCACTCATAAAAATAGTGAGCCTGGAGATAGGTTTCTATAGAGCTCTCTATGCCCATACAGAGCTTGAAAAGCTGCCAGCTACCCCAGGAGTGCCTGCACTTCGCTTTGAAGGTCTCTAATCATACTTATTGCCCACCCCCCACCTGCTTAGAGGGGTGGGGGTGGGAATAGGTT